AAGTCAGTACGCCTGGTCCAAAGCTGGCCTTCGTGAAAGTCGCCACTTTCCGACGGCCATACCGCCCGGCCCACAGCTGGCCCACAGACCCGGCAGAGGCCTCTGGCCCACCAAGAATGGCGCCATCCCTTCATGAATCACCACTTCTCGACGGCCAACTCGTCCGGCCCACGGCTAGCCCACAGAGCTGGCAAAGGCCTCCATCCAGCCTGCTGGGAAGAGCGCAATCCTTGTGAAGGTCGCCTCTTTTCGACGGTCAAAGCGCCCGGCCCACAGCTGGCCCACAGAGCCGGCAGAGGCCTCCGGCCCACCAGGAAAAGTGCCACTTCTCGACGGCCAGAGCGCCCGACCCACAGCTGGCCTACAGAGCCGGCACAGCCCTCCAGCCCGCTGGGAAGAGCGCCATCCTCATCAGGGTCGCTGTCTTCCAATAGTGGCCAAATCGCCCACAGCTAGCCCAAAGAGCCTGCAGAGGCCTCTGGCCCACCAAGATGAGCGCCATCCATGTGAGGGCCGCCGCTTCTCGAGGGCCAAAGCGCCTTGACCACAGCTGGCCCGCAGAACCGACAGAGCCGTCCAGCCCGCTGGGAGGAGCGCCATGCTCGTCAGGGTCGCCACCCTTCGAAGGCCAAGGCGTCCAGCCCACAGCTGGCCCACAGAGCTGGCACAGCCCTCCAGCCCACTGGAAGGAGCGCCACCCTCGTGAGGCTCGGTCGCCACCTTTCGAAAGCCAAAGCGCCCGGCCCACAGCTGGCCCACAGAGCTGGCTGAGGCCCTCCAGCCCACCAGGAGTGGCGCAAGTGTCGCCACTTCTCGACGGCCATAGCGCCCAGCCCACAGCTGCAGCCCAGAGCCGGCACAGCCCTCCAGTCCGCTGGGAGGAGCGCCATCCTCGTGCCGCCGGGTCGCCAATTCTCGAAGGCTAAAGCGCCCAGCCCACAGCGCCAGCAGAGGCCTCCATCCCTGTGATGGTCGCATCTTTTCGAGGGCCAAAGCGCCCAGCGCGTCAACCATCACACATAACCAAAAACAACAATTGACAACACATACCTTCATCAACGAACTAATGCCAATAATGTGCAGTATTCTGCTTCGAGAAATCTCCTCCGGAACCTTCGATATGTGTGCCTGTTCTCGACGGCGTGCAAGCGCCTACTCGAACGGCGGCGTATGTTCTTATGTCACGTTGGACCCTCTCGCTTGCGATGCTATTATTACCCACTGTTGTTTTTTTTTGAAAATGCAATATCTTAATGTTCTCGCCAACTCTGTTATGTGATGTTACCGTCCACTGTGGTCGCTGCGTTCTCTGTTCCAAACATGTACGCCCACAATGTTGTATGTTCTGTTATGTTCTACTCCCCCAAATACTTGACAGCAGACTTAAGTAATTGTAGCAGCAGCAGTACAAAATGTCGTCATCGTCGTCGTAGTCGTAGTCGTAGTCGTAGTAATAGTAATAGTAGTAGAGTAGTAGTAGTAGTAGTAGTAGTAGTAGTAGTAGTAGTAGTAGTAGTAGTAGTAGTAGTAGTAGTAGTAGTAACAATAGTCGTCGTCGTAGTAGTAGTAGTAGTACCAGCAGCAGTAGTAGTAGTAGTAGTAGTAGTAGTAGTAGTAAAAGTAAAAGTAGTAGTAGTAGTAGTAGTAGTAGTAGTAGTAGTAGTAGTACTAACCGTAATGAGAGTTGTAATAGTCGTAGTCGTACGAATAATAGTTGGTGTGGTGGCAGTAGTCGCAATATGAGTGGTTATACCCGTATCAGTCAGAGAAATAGCAGACGTAGTAGTAGTGAGAGTAGTAGTAATAGTAGTAGTAGTAGTAGTAGTAGTAGTAGTAGAAGTAGTAGTAGTAGTAGTAGTAGTAGTAGAAGTAGTAGTAGTAGTAGTAGTAGTAGTAGTAGTAGTACTAGTACTAGTAGTAGTAGTAGTAGTAGTAGTAGTAGTAGTAGTAGTAGTGGCACTAGTAATACAAATGGCAGTGATAGAGATCGTAGAAGAAATACATGCAGTAGCCGTACTAGTCGTAATAGTAGTAGTAATAGTAGTAGTAGTAGTAGTAGTAGTAGTCGCAATATTAGTAGTAGTAGTAATAACAGTGGTAGTAGTCGTAGTAGTGGTAATAGTAGTGGCAGTCGCAGCGGCATCAGTCTCGTCGTCGTCGTGGTAATAGTAGTAGTAGTACTAGAAGTAGAAGAAGCCGTTGTAGTAGTAGTAGTAGTAGTAGTAATAGCAATACTGAAAACAATACTCGTATGGATAATAGGAGCAGCCATATTATTAGTTGTACCAGTAGTAGTAGTAGTAGTATAGTAATAGTAGTAGTAGTAGTAGTCGTTGTAGTAGTACTAGTAGTAGTAGTTGTTGTAGTAGTAGCCATCATGGCGGTCTGGAGAAAAGCCGTGACGCCTGTCACAATTCACAAATCGTCCAATCAATCGGACGTTGATCCGCCTGCTTGGTCCTGTGGCCAACCCGACCTCGGCGCGCACGTCCCGGTTCAGAATAGTATAGTACCATGAGTGTGTCATGTTGTTCCCCTCCGTTCTAAAGAATGAGGTTATGCTCTGCGGCAAAGTGTTGTGGCATGATGCGGTCTGTCAAGATATGTTAAGGTCTGCCTTGTACAATGATGCTGCTTACGATGTGCCGAATTAATTGCTATACATTAGGTGATGGCCTATGCTGTGGCATTCCTGTTCAATTAAGGTATTCAAGATCGCTGTCGTAGTGATACCAAAAGTTCAACCGTAATGTGATGGTATGCTGATTGCGATGTGCGTTCTTCGTTATATGATGATGTGCTCCTTCATGTCATGCTACCCCTCTGCAATACATGATCGCCTACGATATGTTAGTACATTCGTTGCCGCCATGGTAGCAAGAATGAAACACTTCTGGAACGCGTTGTTGTGATCAAATGTGATATGCCCTCGTGTGCGCCGTCATGGCAGGTTATGCAGTGTTAAGACATGGTGTACTCGATGAGGCATTAAGGTATACTCTGTTATGCCGTGCAATGATATGGTATGCTCTGTCATGTTCTCCTATGTTAGAAAATGTGATGCCGCTATCCGTCATGGTATGCGTTGTCATGGTACTGCATGCTGTGAAGTGTGATCCGGTGCTCTGGGATGAGTGTACGGCTTTATATGGAAATGTCTGCGCTGGTATGGTATGGTATGTTCGGGTATGCTATGCTATGTTGTGGTATGATGTGGGGGGTTATGCGAAGTCACGAGTGAGGCCGCGTGTGGAATTGCATGCGTCGGTAATATGTGTCCTGCTATGGTATGAGGTGACATGCTATGTTACGAGATGCTTGGTTATGGTGTGGTGCCATGCTGCGTATGCTACGAGAGGCTATGCTATGGTAGGCAGCGCTCTGTCAGGATGTGAGTTGTCAGGCTATGGACTGTTAGGTGATGCGATGCTGTGCTAGGATATCATGTATTATGGCGTGGTGTGATATATTATGGTTCGCTATGGTACGCCATGATATAACATGGTATGGTGTGTTGTGGTATGGTATGCGGTGTGGTGTTGTGTGATGCTCTGTATGCTCCGTTATGGCATACCGAATTGGTGTTATGCTATATTATGCTGTTTTATAATGTATTGACCAACGCTATGGCAAGGTATGCCTTGCCATGGTATGCACTGTTATGTGATGTTAGCATGTGGTATGCGATACATTAATATGACATGGTATGTCGTGTGATGGTGTTATGTCATGGTATGCTATGTTATGCTCTGTCATGCTAGGTATGCAATGTTGTGTTATGCTATGTTCTGCATGCTCCGCTCTGTCATCACATGCGTTGTTCTGATGAGCCCGGCTGTGATATGCTATGGCATGGTATGTTGTGTTGTGGTATGTTATGTTTCGGTATGTTCAGTTATGATATGCTTTGTTATGGCATACTTGCTTTGTCGTGCCATGTAGGCTCTGTACTGTGATGCTGTGATATGTTATACTATGTTCTGTCATGGTGGATTGTGTTATGATATGTTATGTCCTGATCTGATCATATACGGTATGCTATGCTATGTTATGCCATGTGGTGTGGTGGCATGTTCTGTTCTGTAAGGTTCGTTATACCATAGCCTGTGCCGTTTTGTTATGCGATGGTATGCTGTGCAGTAGTGTGTTGTGCCGCGCTCTGTGATGCTGTATCATGTTATGATTTGTTTTGTGCCTGTAAAAGGCGCGAGGCGGGACACTCGGGGGTTACTCGGCGGACCTGGGGATCTGGCCGCCGCGGTATGCAGAGTGGGCAGGTCGGCGCGAGGCGGGACACTCGGGGGATACTCGGTGGACTTGGGGATCTGGCGGCCGCGGTAGTCAGACTGGGAGGGTCGGGAGCCCTGTTTATAAAATCTAACAACCCCAACCCGTCGGGTGGCGAACGACAACATTGCAACCGCATGAACAGCAACGACGGAAACGAGCACGAGGTCCCCGATAACACAATTCTTAATGCCAAGCAAAGACCCCTTCTGCTGCACCGTACCATGGAACTAACAAACAAAACACACACACACACACACACACACACACTTTTTGGCATTGCGGCCACGAGAGTGGCGGCTCGGCGTAGTCGGTCGAGTGGGAGCGAGCGCGCGGCTGGGCCAGCTCACGCGGCGGGTGGACCAAAAATCCGCCCATAGGGGATTGACTGGGTCGCTTGCGCGGGGACGCGAGGGGAATGGAGAGACAAGTGATGAGATAGTATGTCGATGGACAAGATATCTCTTTTCCATCTTGAGCCAAAATGGGTGCACGGAGGAGGGTGTCAGAATCACTCCTCCTCGGGCCTGGCCGCCAACCCGGCCAGGCACGACCTACGTCGTACGCGGGCGCGCCCAAGCCGACGCGCCCATCTCATCAGCTAGGCTGCGGCCATGCCGCGAGCCCCTCACTCCGTCCGGCGCGATCATACCGCCGCCGGCGGAACCTCATCCAGCCCCACAGGTAGCGGAGCATGGATTCGATCCACTCCATCACTTGAAGTCCTTCTGAGTCAAACTCGGTGTCCGATCCCAGATGTTGAGCGTCGCCATGTGTCTCCTCAAAAGGGATCCACCCACGCTCTTGGTCAGCACGTCCGCGACATTGTTCTTACCAGGAACCGCGGCGATCGAGAGGTCGCCCTTACCCACGCGCTCCTGGATCCACAAGTATCGTGATTGAACATGTCGCATCTTCCCGAGACCCCGCCGTTGGACGTGGCCCCGGGCCGCCGATGAATCCGAGGCGAGCTCTACCTTCAGGTCCAGCCCCCAGTCCGCGAAGAGGCTGTGAAGGCCCAGGCCCACGCTCCCGCCCTTCACCAGGGCGTAGTACTCGCTCTCTCCGCTGCTCAAAGAAACCGTCGACTGCAGATTACTGCCATGCTTGACGACATGATGCCCCAGCATCGCCACGAAGCCTCCGGTGCTCTTCCGGGTGACTGCGCAGCCCGCATGATCGGAGTCCACGTACACCCGGATCTTGTCGAACATCTTCTGCTCCGTGAAAACCGTCACCGTGCTAGGATGCCGCTTGAGGTAGCGGCCAACCCTCTTGAGCATGAGCCAACTCGCCTCCGTTGGCGTCTGCATGGACCTAGCGAGCGTCTTTGATGCCTCTGCCAAGTCCAGCCTGTCCTGAGACAGGTAGGCCACCCTCATGGTGAGGGATCGGAAGCGCGAAGCTTCCGCTGCTCCCAACGCCGCCGACTTCGCATCCATCATCTGCTTGTCGGCGCTGCGCTTCTCCATCGGCGTGTCCACGCCGTTGGCCTTGCTGAGACCCAACTCGTCGATCACGATCTCCGCGTGCCGCTTGTCCGGCTCGATCATCGCATGCCGGCAGGGCCGGCCACCGCCAGGCGGAACTCCCGCACTGACCTCGATGACCCGATTCAGGAAGACCGCCTGCTTGTCATCGCCCTCGTCGAAGCCTAGGTTCGCAGTCTTCTTGAACTCGTACTTCTTGCCCAGCGTGGCCTCGAAGCTGTCGATGTCCTGCTGCTGAGCCAGCACCGCGAAGTCGTCGCCGTGCCCCAGCAGCCTCGTCTCGTCCACCTCCTTGTAGAAGACCGCTGGGCACGACACGCCCGCCTTGTAGCCGTGTTCCTCCAGCAGCTCCGTGTAGTCGCCCTGCCAGATCTTGCTGGCGTCCTGCGTGCCGTACCAGGACTTGAGGAGTAGGCCGCACTTGTCCTCGCCGTACTCCTTGCGACTCTCCTCCTCCAGCTCCACGAAGATCCTCCGCTGCGCCTTCCCGTAGAAGTGCGCCCTGCTGATGTCGAAGAAGCCGATCTTGAAGTTGCCCGGCTTCCTGCCCTTCTTGCGAAGCGACTCCTGAATGTGGAGCGGTGCTTCCCGCGTCCACGTGACCATCAGCGAGACCAGCGACCGCATGGCCTCCAGAGGAGGCATGGCCGAGAAGACCTCGGACGCCTCCAGCTGCTCGTCGGGGCGCTTCTTCGCCTTGATCTCCTTCACGACGAGCCTGCTCCTGTAGTTGGGCCTCTCCGCGTCACCCTTGTTCGTGTCGACCCACTTGAGTGGGATGGGCGGACGCCCAGTCTCGGCGAAAGCCTGAGACCTCGGGACGATCTCGATCAGCTCCTGCTTCTTGACCCACTCGCGCTCGACCGCGCGAGCCTGGGCCACAAGGCCCGCCTCCAGGTAGCCGCCATTGACGTCGTCCCAGTAACTCGTCCAGTCCCCGGGCGGCACTGCCGCGTCCACAGGGACTGGGCCCGACTGCTGCACCTGGGCGGTGCTGAGCTCTCCCACGTCATCCAGCGTGTCCTTGAGCTCCTCCAGCACCGCCTCTACCAACTTCGGTGGATAGACCTTCGCGAACCGCGCGATGCCGCCCACGAGCGTGATGTGGCGATGCCATTCCGCGCGGCCGTCCACATTGCTGCAAGTGCCCTGCAGCCTCCGGGCTAAGCCTGGATGGTTGGTGACCCATCCGGTCTCCTTGCGCACGAACTCCTCCTGACCACTGCGTGGGTTCGTGAGCTTCATGCCCCACCGACACATGGGGCCTTTGACCGTGAAGACTCCTGGATGCGCGACCAGCTCCCTGACGATGTCCTCATTCCACGATCGCGCGCTCCAGGGATGCTCATGCAGGAAGTACCTGCCTGGCTTCCTGAGCTGACGCCAGTAGGCGTCGACTGCCACCTTCAGGTGGTGTCTGGCCTCCTCCATCTCAGCCGCCTCCTGCTCATCGGTCCTGAACTTGGCGCTCAGGCCCCTCAGCAAGCTGAACTTCTCGCATGGAGGGGACCCCGTGAGCAGGATGGGATCCATCCGCTCCTGCTGCCTCTCGAGCTCCTTGACATCCTCGGGGCGCCGCAAGTCCCACGGCGTCCCGTCCTCCTTGAGTTCCTCCAGGTCCGCCGCGAAGCCCGGGCGCAGCTGAAATTCCGCTGCCCGAGCCGAGAACCGATGTGGCGAGTACACCTCGGCCACGTCCACGGCGCCCAGCTGCAACGCCGATAGGGCGATGCTGTCCACCTCTTCGTCGGCGATGTCCACGCCGGCGCTGGCCCAATGGCCACTGACCTGTTCGCGAACGAGCGGGAGCAACTCCGCCTTCGCTCTCGTCAGCACTCCGAGCTCAACCAGCTCGATCGACGCCATATCGAGGGCGAGCACCCGCATGTGCCTCCCCTCACTGGCGTTCCACACGACTGCCACTCCAGCTGGCAGCTGAGGTCCTTCCGCTGGCGCCGGCTGCGCCGCGAGATCCTCCATGTCCACCGGTACCGGCACGTCTGCCGGCTGTGGATCACCGCGCTCGAGGGCCTCCGGCACGTCATCCGGGGCCACCTCTGCCAAGCGCTTCAGCCGCGACCTGGCCGCGGTCATGTCGACATCCGCGGCGGCCTCTGCCGCTCGCGCCGCTCCCGAACTGGAGCTCGCTCCTCCTGAAGGAGCCGCCGCGCCGAAGCCCGGTGCTACCGGCTGGCTCTCTCGCATGCGCGCCGCTGTGGCTGCCACGGCTGGCGCTGCTGCCGATCGGGCCGCGGCCGGCGCGGCCGATGCCGCTGCCGCCGCTGCCACCGGCTCGGTGATCCTCCGAGCCGTCTTCGGCGGAGGGGTCCCTGCCGCGGCCGCTGCCGCTGGTCGGACTCTGGCCTCTTGGCCCTGCCTCCGCTCTCGATACTGGCCGGTCCTCTCCCGGCCTGCCTCCTCAGCGTCCAGCGCTTCGAAGATTCTCTTGCTGCACACCGCGTTGTGCGCATGGCCAGCCAGCACCGGCCGTGCTTGGCGATCGAGACGCACCCTGGGCATCCCGGCGTTGCGCCCAGCCGCTCGACGTCCGCCTTGAGGACGTACATCCTCCTCGGCGCCTGCGGCTGCGGCGACACCACCACAATTGGTGGCGGTCCGACCTCTCCAGGTCCGACGATGGCCCGCGGCGCGCTTGCCGCACGCGGAGCCACGTCCCACGGCAGGCCCTTCAGGCCATCCCAGCCCGCCGTGATCCACTTCTCGCTCTGCGGCAGGCTGCGAAAGCCTACCGCCTTCTTCACGCCGTCGCTCGTGATGACCATCATCGAGCCGTCGCGCGGGTGGTGGCCGATGTAGCGAGCCTCCACCATCTGCTCCTCCAGCGCGTTCTTCCTCGCGCGCTCCCCGGCGAACCGCGCCATCAAGCGCTCGCCGAAGAGCGGGACCGGCTTCCTCCACTGCCGTCCCGTGAGCCGCTGGAGAGCGGTCTTGCCATCCTGGCCGCGCCGGTATCGGTTGATTACCGATGCGGCGTGCTCCGGCAGGTGCGCTAGCACCGGGTGCTTGTCCTCCACCTTGACGCCCAGCTTGGACTCCAGGTCCATCTTGAGCGCCCGCACCTGCTTCTTAATCTCGCGCACCGTGACCTCGATCTCCCCATTGGCCTGATGATCGGCCGGTGCCGACTCCTGGGGAATGGCCTCGAGGCCAGGAACCTCCTCCACCGCACGCCTCTTGACCAACAGGATCGCCGGCTCGCCGTCGGACTTGTTGACGATCTTCCTGTAGCCCAGGATCCGCAAGAAGCGTGCGAAGAACTTGATGGCGTAGGCGTCGTCGCCCTTCTTCTCCACGAATGTCGCTGCCATCATCTTCGAGCGCCGATCCCTAAGTACCAGCATCGGCATGGTGTCCGCGTCGTCCTGGCCCATGAAGGCGTAGTCGGACGAGACCACCGGCACCGCCGTCTCGTCGTCCTCCGGTGCGCGGAGATGCGGCTGGCCTTGGCCCTTTGCCGCAATACACACGCGACACCAGCTGCGATAAGTCGCGTGTCCCATCGCCTCGTGTTCGTCGATCTCCCTCTGAGAGGGCTCATGAGGTGCCTTCAGCACTCTCGGGCGAGCCTCCTCCTCGCCCTCGTCGGCCTGCTGTCCATCAGGAGCAGCTGGCAAAGCGTCGGCCGCAGCAGCTGCCGCTGGCTGAAAACCCGGCGGTCTCACGTCGGAAGGTCCCGACCCCGCCGCTGCCGCCCCCGCAGCCGATGCCGCCGGGGGCCGTGGTATTAAGTCCTCCAGTGGGCTTACGCCGAGGGCTGCCTCCTGGGGACTGTCTTCTCGAGGATCTCCAGCAGCTCCTCCTTCGACTTGCCGCTGAGGAGCTCCACTAGCTCGGACTTCGACTTCGCCGAAAGTCCCTCCTCGAGAGGAGCAACCGAGCCATGTTGGCCCTTCTTGGGGTAGAAGTTGTAGACGCCCTGCTCGCGATAGACCGGCAGCATCTGGTGCTTCGCCGCCTTCGCCTCCTTCTCGAGCATGCCTACCACGCGCTTGCCGATTGGGCTCTTCTCGTGGAATATCCAGCCGCCATTGCGACCCAGGAATGAACGCTGTCCAGCTCCTGCTGCCTGCCCCACCGAGATCAACGGCTTGTGCACGTTCGTCACGCGTCCCTTGAGTGCTCGTAGCACTCCGTACTCGTCCTCCGCCTTGAGCTGCAAGCTGCCCTCGTCCGGGACGAGCTCACCACTGGCCGTACGATACGTGCTGCCGTTGCCCTTCATTCCCGTCGGCGGCGCGAAGCTCCGAGGGAATGCTGAGATAGCTGCACCGCTGTCCCAGTTGAACTTCATCCAGTCGTCCTGCGCGAAGGGGGAGAGGTCGACCGCCGCTATGCCGCGGCCGCTGCCGCTGGCGAGCTCCAGGCAGTCCAAGCTGCCCATGTCCAGAGCGGCGACCTCCGCTTCAGGCTCCTCCTCCAGGCTGCCTGCCGCCTTGCCGCCGGCCTTGCCGCCGCGGCTACCGACTTTACCACCAGCGCTTGCCCCCGTTGCGGATCCAGTTCCAGCCCTCGTACTCGATCCCTGCTCTTTCCTCCAGCAGTCGGATGCCTTGTGGCCCCATCTCTCGCAGTTCCGACAGTAGCCGTCGAAGCGCCCGCTGGTGCTTCGAGGTGCCGTGTGCCCTGAACCACGGCCCGAACCCGTCGGGGATGTGCGGGAGCCTGAGTATGATCCGTTCGTCGATTTGCTCTTCCCCTTCGGCTCCTGAGTCTTGCCTTTCCCTTTGCTCTTGCCGTCCTTGCCCTTGCCTTTGCCTTTGCCTTTCGGGGCTCCGAACGATCCGACGTCCATGTCGTCCGGATGATGCGCCCGCGCACGGATCGATGGCTCCTTGATCTTCACGCCGGTCCGAGCCTCTACGATCGTCATTACCTCGTTCAGACTGTCCTGGAACGTTACGAGCCGATGCTTGTTGAGTACGAGGTGGTTCTCGATGTCCTGAGGCACGAGCATCTCGAGGGCCGCCATCTTGATATCCTCCGGCAGCTCGGCCAGACCATCTTCTCCTTGGCGGCGTTCGTACCTGCCTATCTGCTGGATCCACTTCTCTAAGGCGGACCCCAGCTCGTCCGCGCTGCACTTCGGAGGCGAGATGATCGACCTCAGGATCAGCCTCTTCCTCGGGCCTGTCGTCGGATCCCACCTGCGGTGGAGCTTCCGCCAGGCTTCGAGACCGTTCCCGTCGGGGGCGCCCGTCACGAGGTCGTTGCTCTCGCTGCCGTCCGCCGTCGTGCTGATCAGCGCCGCGTACAGCTGGTTGACCTTGGTCTCCAGCTCTGGAACTCCGTCGTGCACCGCCCGAGCTCCCTCGATCGTCACGGGGCGTTCGGCTTCGGCTGCCCACCGAAGAACAGGGCGAAAACTCTCTCCGTACACGCCGATCACGTAGTTCTCCATCTTGCGATTCCAGGCGCCGAACTTCTCTTGGTCGTCGCCCAGCGTCGTGGGCTTGCCGATCCCCCTGGTGTCTACGAGACCTTGAACGGCTCCACCCGCGCTCGTCGCGCCTCTGATCTGCTCGCCCATCCGCTCGATCGCCTGCGGGATTGCCGCGAGGCCTCCTGCCACCTGCTGCTGAAGACGCTGATTCTCGTTCTCCAGCCTCCTCATCTCGTCGGCTGCCTGACCTATTTGAGCCGCGAACTCCTGCCTCAGCAGTTCGAACTGATGCCGAACCTGCTCGTCCATGTTTGACAGCGTGTCTCTCGGCGAGCTCCTCCCGGCTCTCTGCTATCTCTTGCCTCGTGCGTTCGAGGTCCGTAATCCGGCCTAGGACTTCCTTCTGCGTTCTCTCAACAGCGTCCGATGAGTTCTCCGACGGGTGGTCCTCGATGTACGCGAGGTGGTGAAGCTTGTTGCCCGTCTCCCTCAAGTCGTGCTTGAACTGGAGCTGCTTGCGCCTGGTCTCGATCGCCTCGTCGCTCCTCTTGCCGCGCCTGCGGCCACTCTTCCCGGCCCCTGCCGGTTGACTCCTCCCGGCCCCTGCCGGTTGCTCGGCCGCTGCCGAGCTCGGTGCGGCCGATGCCGCCCTCTTCCAGCCTCGAGCCTCTTGCCAGCTCGCCGTGGCGCCCGCGGGCGCGCCGAGGCCCTGGTGGGTCGGCAGCAGTGAGTGGCCAGCTCACGCTACCATGATGAGATAGTATGTCGATGGACAAGATATCTCTTTTCCATCTTGAGCCAAAATGGGTGCACGGAGGAGGGTGTCAGAATCAACAAGGGAATAGGGGGCAAAGGGCGGCAGCCGGAGGCGGAGTGCAGTGCGCGGGGCAAGAAAGGCGCAGCGCGGAAGGGCACAGCGGCACACCCACAGGGTGGAGGAGCGACACGCAGACAACCCGACCAAGGCAGACGTAGGGGAACAAAAAGTGGCATAAACATAAAAACTCGGAGGTCCGCGCGGATTTCTCGGATCGGCGCTGGGGCCCCCCGGCGGCGCCTCCGGCGCCGCCCCTGGCGCGCTCCGCGCGCCAGGGAGGGGGGTCCAGCGCCGATCCGAGAAATCCGCGCGGACCTCCGAGTTTTTAAGTTTATGCCACTTTTTGTTCCCCTAAGACGGTGGGATGACACACGCGCGCACACACACACACATGTTTTGGCGGTCGTGGCCTCGCGCGCGGCGATGAGCCGGAGTAAACTAGAGAGCGACGGATGCGGGCGTGCGCGGCCGGGCCCTCAGGCGGGATCGCTTTGGACCGACTTCA